TCTGTACAGAAGTGTTTACCAGCAAACGGTGAGGAATCCCAATCCCACAGGTTTATCTCTCCAGTGAACAGAGGAGTTCACACACAGGTCTTCCAGCATGGAGCTGTTGTTAACAAATTTGCGCTCACACAGACCAGAACAACCCGGCGACTCTAAAGAAACCTCTCAGTGTTTACTTATGTGAGGAGCACAGATTTTTAAACTCAGGCTGTGTGTAACATAATCAGTTCTCCAAACATCCCTCCATTTGTTCCCAGAACAAACAAACAGAAACGCTGTTTCCTCCCAGCTCTTAAATTTATCATGGTGTTACACTCTGCTTTACCCACAAACTGTTGGGTTCTTCTGGGCAATTCGTGATTGTTCTCACACATGGAACCAAACTGTGTGCAGGTTCTCATAGGTTATTGGACTAAACAAAACCTTTCTTTGGTTTGGTTGTTTGTGGCAGCCGTGTTTTTCCTTCTTCTAAATGTACTATTTTCATCATCTTCATCATCAAACAGCATGTCCAACAGCATCGTCGAGTCCCTTATTTGTCCCACAATGGGGGAATTTACATTGTGAGTCGCTATTAAGTACATGGTGGCGACTTATAGGATACCACACAGGGGGCGCCATTAGTGAAATGAAAGGAACTAAATCTGTGAGATTAAATACAGTAGCCAAAAAACAAAAACAAACTACAACTGCTCAGTAATTCTATAACCTATATATTCACAGCATGTAACCATAAAATGTCAGACTAAACCGATCTAAATGTGTGAACGTTAAATTTGTAATTTCTTAACAGATTACAGTCATTTTTTTAATACCACATATTAAAATCCCTGCTGGATTCTTAAATCAAAACAAAGCTAGTTCAATATATTTACAAGTATAAGTATATAAAAAAAAACATTGGAGCCATGTACGAGACAGGTAGATGTACTTTATTCCAAAATGTGGGAGTAGTCTGGGTGTAGCCTGAGAATCCATAATAAAAACAACTTTCTCCCTCTGGCACAACACTAACTCCCTTACTATAGGTAGGATATTGTCCAGAGAGGCCTAATCAAAGGAGGCTGGTTCTGGGTGGTTCTTCCACCTGTGGAACCTGATACGCCACGAGCTTAGAGTTTCTTTTGCCCGGGGCAGATCTGGGTTTCAGCCGAGTTTCCCCAACCCCTTCATTTGTGTCAGGAGGGAGGAGCAGATCAGACTTTCTCACAGACTGTAATGACACATTTACTCACAGGTGACTGGGCTGCTGCTACATAAGGTGTGTTTACTCACAGGTGACTGGGCTGCTGCTTCACACACCTTATGTGCTCAGTTAGTGTGGACTCAGGCTATTTGTTCTGGAAATATCTCATGTAGATGAACAACCTCCTTATTATGGGAAACTGCTGTGATTATTGACTTAAAGTAAATGCGTTCTTACTTTATTTAAGAGGCAAAGATTGATGTTTAAAAAAACTAACCAATTTGCTTTTTAAAACACAAACAATGTCAGAAATCTATGGCAGCAATAGACACTGTTATAAAGGGAGTAGTTCACTAGAAGTCTATGGTCGGAGTTCCGTTTCTAAAGTGCGATTCTTCATCAGAACTCGCATACCGTACATAGGTACCTATGTCACTCACCTTCATGATCACAGTGGTAACATCGTAATATAGGACATCAGAAGACTCCGACTTACGCCTAGGAGACATAATGAAGGGCAAAAGGTTCCCAAAAAAACCCCAACCCAAACGACAGTTTTGGGAGGAAACCATGGTTTACAGAAAATCACACACATATGAGGAGGTTGTGCAACAACAGAGTCATCAGTCACAGCCCTGGTTTGAACCTGTGACCTCTTCTTACCTCCATGTTAATGAGTGGCTACTGTGAAATTTAGAGACACATTTTTACAAATGATAGAAATGAATGAAGGCTCTGTAAAACAGAGGAGACAAATGTAAATGTCCCTCAACTCCAGGAACCGATCAGCTGGACTTGTGGGCTGCAGCTCTGTCCAGAATCAGACAGCTGTAAAATTCCATCACCTCTAACTCTGCTTCCTAACTGCTTCTGACAGCTGTTTTCATGTGAGGTAACAATGGTGGACATCACACGGGTCACAGTCTTCGACAACACTGTTAACAATAATATCTACCCCTAAAGCGATGGTAAATGCAGCTCCTTCGTCGGGTCACTGACCTCAGGGAGAAATAAAATATATGTTTTATTTTAGATGCTTTTTAAAAAAAAATAAATTAAGGTCAGCTATTGTGGCCTCCCTTGCTAAACACACACACTTGCCACTCGCAGAATGCGCTTTTGCATGTGTGTGGGTGGATGTCTGGCGTCTTTCCTCGATTTCATCTCTTGGATCTTATTTTACACATATGTAGACAAAGATAGAAAAACCACAGAGGATATTTTTCAGCAGCCCACGGCCTCTCTGGGCAGCCCGTGGCCCAGGGGTTGAAAATCTGCCTTGTGATCATAAAATGCCAGATTAAATACCAGTCCCGATGGGGCTGTGGTATGTTGAGCAAGCACCATAAATTGACAACTCCTAAAGCACAGCAGAGTTCAGCCCACTGGCCCTGGCTCTTGACAGATTATTGTGTATGTATGTGTGTATATCTACAGTAAGAAATAAATCTGCTTTTTTTTTTTTTTATTCATTTTAAGCTTCTGTAAATAACAGTAGAAAAGGAACAAATATAAACAGTTGACAATAAGTCAATGTGGTACCTATTTATTACTAATAAATTATTTGAACAGACTTTATATATCTATACACTATATATCTATATATTTTCTTCTGCAAGGCCATATTGTACAGATGGTTACCTGAAAAAAGGTACATTATTTATTTATTATTTTTATAGCCTTCTATGAAAATAAAAAAATGCTCCATTCAGTTACTGAATGTCTTTATTTGAACACACTTATAAATTCAGTCAAAGGTTCTTGACAATCATTTTTGACAAAATATTATTCAACATTTAGTTTACAGTCACACTATTGTTTGCTATGTCAACCTTACTACATTTATATGTAACTCTGTGGCTGATCGCAGTCATTTTAAAATAACCTTTCAGTATAAATGATTATGAAAGACGTTCGGGTGTATACAATTATAGTAGATAATGTGTCTTTCATCCAAGACTGTGACAAAACCAAACTCTAATAAATATGGAAGGATCAGCAGAAGAGAGGAAATGTGAATAAGCTGTGCCAAATCATGTGTCTCACACATGGACATGAAAAACATTCCTCTGCAGGAAGAATCTTTCAGCAGCTCCAGTCTAACAGTACTGGAATAACTGCATCATTTTCATTGGTTCCAGGGACTGAACATCAGATTGTAGTACAAAAGTACAGAAATGTACAGAAATGTAGAGTAAAGTACAGATATTGCTGTGGTACTTTATACCATTTGCCTGTCGAAGTTACCAAAATCCTCTAGTTAACAATGTAGTATTACCATGTGGAAGACTGTTCCAACAGCCTTCAGCAGCCAGCTGCTACATAATCGCAGTATATTAAACTAAATTCATAGATAGAATTGGGCTAGGTTGATAATCGGAACAACTGTCCTTGTCCCAAAATGACCTTGATAATTAAAGCAGGCTAATTATAATAATATACTATAATAATGTAATAAAAATGTACTGGTATAATTAGTTTAAGCTCTAATCTTCTAAACTCAATCTACAGGATGGGAGGGTAATTAAGATTCTACACCTAGAACGTCGCACCTTCACATGAAA